GAAGGGTCTAGGCCCGAAACGTCAGCCTTCCTGCTCCTCTGATGCTGCTTGGCCTGCTGTGTTCATCCAGCTCTACACCTTGTTATCCCAGATTCTCCAGCATCTGCAGTTCCTACTATCTATGAATAAAGGCCTAACCAGTTTAGCCATTCTTCATAAATCACCCTCTTCAGCACAGGACCCAGTCTAGTCAATCTGTTTTGAACTTCCTCTTTTCTTAAATGTGGCAACTAAATGCTGTCAAATGGGACTGGATTAATTTAGGATATCTGGTCAGCATGGATGAGTTGGACTGAAGGGTGCATTTCTGTGCTGTACAGCTCTATAACCCTACAAAGCTGTATGCAATACTCCAGGTGCGGTCTCATCAACACCCTGTACAGTTGCAGTGAGAATTCCCTATCTTTAAACTTCAGTACCCTTTTTGAAAAGGAAATCAAGTTCCCCAAGCATGCTGGTGCTTTATTAGAAAGTAAAATGTTCAAAGAGTTAACAAAGGGAACCACTGGATTAGTTAACAAAATGAATGGCTGTAGAATTGGGGCTGCTAGAGGGGATCGAGGATTAGTTAAGAGGCAAAAATCGAGAAAAATTATCAAGCCAGGGGGTGGGGGGAGTGAGCCCAGCATGGCTAAGCACTTAAAAAGGACTGTAATGTTGAAATTTATATTTTTTTCTTTATTTTTCTGCCTAAAAGTTTGTACCTAAGATGGTGTCTGCAGTGGTGATTTTGTACACTCTTCGCTGTGCTCCTGTACTTGAGTACATGTGACAATAAGTTCTAATTCTAAAAGGCAGAGAGTAGGAAGAATTGGGTTTTTCAGGTTAGCTAGCTGTGACCAGTAGGGTACTGTAGCAGTCTGTGCTTTGACCCAGCATTTCATAATCTGTAGCAGTGACTGGGAATTGGAGACCAGTTGCAACATTTCCACATTTGAAGATGATACAAAACTTGGTGGGAACGAGAGTCATGAGGGGAATGTAAAGAGGCTTCAAGGGGACTTACACAGATTAAATGAGTAACCAAGAGGAAGATCACACGGGAAATATCTGTAGAGTGTGAGATTGTACTCTTGAGTCAGAGGAACTGAGGGGCAGAATGTTTCTTATAAGATGAGAGATTGGAAAGTGTTGATGTCCAAAGGAACCTGTCTCTGAAAGCCAGAATGTAGGTGCAGCAAGCAATTCAGAAGGCAAACAGCATGAATATTACAGGACGATGAGAACAGGAGCAAAAAGGTGGAACTTCATTTGTAGTGAACACTTGGAGAGATAGTACTTGACACTAACCTAACTCCTCAGCCTAAGGAAAGACATACTTGCCACAGGAAGTGCTGTGGATGTTCAGACTGATTTCTTGAATGGATGACTGGGCCCGTATTCTCCAGAATTTGAAATGAAAGGCACTGAAATTTACAAAATTCTTAAAGGAGGTTTGCCCTGGCTGTGGGATCTAGAAACAAGGGACAGTCTCAAAATAAAAGAGAAATCCATTCAAAGCTGATGTGAGGAAGAACATCTTCACTCAGAGGGTGAGGCTTTGGATTCCTGTACCCCAGAGGGCAAAGGAAGCTCTGTCATTAAGCTAGCTCAAGACACAGCCCATTCTAGTTAATTTCTAGATTTCTAGTTAATTACGATATCAAGGGAATACAGTATTGAGGTCTAGAATGGCAGAGTAGGCTCAAGGGGCTGAGTGGCCTATTCCTACGCTGAATGTGGTCTTGTGGATCTGAACTTTGGGGCTCTGGTTTGCTGCTTAGTCAGGGATCTGAAATAGTGGAGTTCAGGAGTGGGATGGATGTCTTTGGATGGGAGTTGCTGGGGTGTAGATGCAGAGTTCTCGGCTCGAAATGGAAAGGATGGCCCTGCGTACGGAGAGTTTTTGAGTTGAAAATAAGCTTCGAGCGCGGTGGTGTTCCCTCCTAACTGCAAACCTTTCCTTTGTGCCAGGGAGATGCCTGTGGAATGGCTTGTGAAGACCATGAGTGGCCTGGGGCTGGAGACCCACACTCAGACTTTCTCCCGAACTCTACCCTTCCCTGACGAGATTCGGGAAAGATATGTAAGTCACTGACCCTTGTAACATTAGGCAACTGGGTGAAAGCACAGTGATACAGTCTAGAAGCAATCCCGCAGTCAATGCTCAGTGCTCTTCTGCCTACACACTGCCAGCTTCCCTGGGCATCCCACCATTAAATCCATCTCCCTGGTGTGGTACCCAGTCAGGATAAGCAGATACCATGAAGCTTACTGTATTATTCTGTCCAATTATTATAGTTTTCTATTAATTTATTCATCTCGATGTAAATACATTTGTTGTTCGATCAAATGGCCTCACAAAATATCAACAATTGATTTAATTTCAAGTTAATTTCTCTTCAAATACTGCGATGTTCGAGTAGTCAGCTGAGGGTGCGAGTGAGAAGGGTCTCTGGTAAGTTTTACTTAAGGCAAAGTCGCATTGTTACTGAAGTGATTTATGCTGTAAATAGAGTATAACAGTGATGTATGCACCCCCTGCATTATGTTTTTATTAGTAGTGTATGTTTTTACATAGTTTATGTGTACCTCTTGATTATCTGGAATATTTGATCAACTGACACACTCCTGGTCCCATGGGTGTAGGATAGTAAAATGTTTGCTGTCGTGTTGGTACAGAGAAAAGCAATCTGAAGTTTGAATTATGCAGTTGTTTGACTCACAAGTGGTCTTTTGAGAGAGAGAGGTATCATAAATCAAGAAATTGCTGCTCGTAGCAAGTTACCCAAACCTATAAGCTCAACATCTGCACTTAGTAAAATACATTTCAGAACAGTGTAAAGATCATCAGTCAGACATCAAAAAATGACAGAGTGATGTTAATATAAACCATCTGATAGAAGAGGGAGACGGAAACAGATGTCCTTTAGGGAAGGGAACTGCTGCCCTTACCTGCATGACTCCAGACCCACAGCAATGTGGTTGACTCTTAACTGCCCTCTGGGATGGGCAATAAATGCTGGCCCGGCCTGCGATGCCCTCATCCTGTGAGTGAATAAAACGAAATGGAGAGAAAAGGGAGACGAGAGAAAAGAGAGAGAAGTTATGTTTGTACGTAGTCTCAGGAATACTATAAAGTGCAGGGTATTAAATTGGTTTGTTACAGATTTAATTATGAAATAGAAGTTTAACAAATAAGTCCATGTTGGATGATGTGTTCTAACGTGTAGGCTAAAATAACTATAGACAATTCAAACAGGCAGCACAATGGGTTCCATGGCTTATAGCTTGTGGCATTGGGAGACTGTAAATGGGAGTGTCAGGTTAGTTAGTGATTGCATGTCGATCCTTTGCTGTTTGTACCACACTGTGCCAGGAGTCACTTATTCAGGCTTTCCCATTGAAACCGCAGATGGTGAAAGGAACCAATGTGTATGGAATTCTTCGTGCCTCAAGGGCAGCGAGTACAGAATCAATTGTACTGAGCACTCCAGTCGGTATCAGACAGAACAGCCAAGCTGCCGGCCTGCTCCTGGCTCTGGCTTCCTACTTCCGAGGTGAGGGTCGCGCGTTCCTGAGACTCTTTACCCCACCCCTACCCCCGACACTCCCTGCGCCCTGACCCCCTGACTGGGGCAACTCCTACTGGGGGCAGGCTCTCCTGCCCGCACCTCTACCTCTGAGCACAGACTGGGAAGGTGTGACACTGCTCTCTGCGCTACTTCCGACATCACTGAGTGCGATTCTGGGCTCTGCACAACACGACAAAAATTGGGAGCAGGAGTAGGCCATTCTGCCCATTCAATCCTGCTGCACCATTCAGTAAGGTGAGGGTTTATTAGTTTGTGGGATCAGCTCTCTTGTCTGACCTCTGTAACTCCACTATCGATCTAAACTCTCAAACCCTGCCTTGTTCAATGACCCAGGCCCCCATGCTTACTGTGGTAGAGAATTATAAACTAAATCTGATTGTCAAAAATAACAGAGAATTCTCCTCCTGTCAGTCCTACACGGGAAAGCCCTTGCTTTTGAACTGGGTCTCTAGACTAGTCCGATTTCAGCCATGTATGAGGAGACTGCTGTTCAGATAGAAACTGAGGAGAGTGACACTCCCCTGTTTCAGGATTGTTCGAAAAAAACGTGTGGAGTTATACAGCCTTGCAACGTGTTACTGCATTAAACGTTCTGTACGAACACAAATTGTTGTTGTCCCACCCCATGTAGAGTAACTGTGTTCTGTTCTGGGCCCCTGCCCCTCAGGGAATGCAGCACAAACTCACTGGAATGATCCCATGGTGAAAAGGGTTATTTATGAAGATGGGTCGCCTAGACTATCCTTATATTCCTTCGAGTATAGAATGGTGTAATCCAGAAAACCCAGGAATGAAGGAACTGGAGGCCATCTTTCCACACTTCTGGAATCATTTATTCACGGAGTTAAACATGGCGCTTTACTCTGTATCTAACCCCGTGCTGTCCCTGTCCCTGGGAGTGTTTGATGGGGGACAGTGTAGTGGGAGCTTTACTCTGTATCTAACCCCATGCTGTCCCTGTCCCTGGGAGTGTCTCATGGGGGACAGTGTAGAGGGAGCTTTACTCTGTATCTAACCCTGTGCTGTCCCTGTCCCTGGGGGTGTTTGATGGGGGACATGTGTCGAGGATCCTTTACTTTCAGTTGAAAGGAGTAGAGAGAGCTCTGATTTGTGTTGACCACTTGCTTCTGGCTGAAACATGCTGCCCACTGTCTGGGGTTTGGGGTGAGGGTGTTGCTGCTGGACTGAGCGCAGTCTGTGCTACTGCAGCAGAATGACTGGGAAAGGGTTTTCAAATGGCCAAGTATGAAACTCCGCCCACAACTCTCCCATGGCAACGGAACTGAGAGCTTATTGGTCGATGGTTGCACCAATGTGTTGGACATGTCCTTGATGCTGTTTCTGTCCCAGGTCAGATTCACTGGGCCAAGGACATCATCTTCCTTTTCAATGAGCATGACATGATTGGGATGGAGGCTTGGCTTGAAGCATACCATGATGTCAATGTGACAGGTAAGGAAAGGCCTGAGATTCATTTTCAAATCCTCCCAGAGCACCTTCCAGCTACTGACATGAAATGGCTCACTTTTATATACCTGCAGTCAACACCGCAGCCAAATTATGCAGCACTGACCCTCAGCGCTGACCCTCCGACGGTGCGGCGCTGACCCTCGGCGCTGACCCTCCGACGGTGCGGCGCTGACCCTCCGACGGTGCGGCACTCCCTCAACACTGGCAGTACAATTGCCAGCCTGGATTGTTCACATCGACATTGATATGATTATCCCATGTTTCAGACATTAACTCGTCAGTGATGGAAGGCCGTGCTGGAGCTATCCAGGCTGCCATCACCATTGAGATCAGCAGTGATGTAATCACAAGCTTTGATATCAGCGTCGAGGGGCTGAATGGTCAGCTGCCAAACCTGGACCTGGTGAACCTGTTCACATCATTCTGCCAGAAGAACGGAGTGCTGTGTACAATTCAGGGAAAGGTGGGTACCACCGCCAGCAATGGGAGTGAGCAGGCTGCTCAGCAAGGCAGGGCTCAGTCAGGGCTGATTTTGGTTTAGAAGATGGGTTTTAGGTCAGAGTGCAGGCGTGGGGGGAGGGATCAGAGAGCAGCTGTCCGGGGGGGGTGGAATCAGAGAGCAGGCGTGGTGGGGGGAATCAGAGCAGGCTTGGCGGGGGGGATCAGAGAGCAGGCATTGTGGGGGGGCCGGATCAGAGAGCAGGCGTTGGGGGGCGCGGATCAGAGAGCAGGCATTCGGGGGGGACAGGGAGCAGGTGTCGGGGGTGGGGGGTGGGATCAGAGAGCAGGCATGGGGGGCCAGAGAGCAGCTTATGGGCAGATGTGGGGTCAAAGGGCAGCAGTTGGGTCAGGGGGCAGCTCTGTGGTCGGACAGGGTGGGTGACTGAGTTGGGGATGAGTATTACTGATTGTACTGGGAGCTGGTGAGTCCAGTGGATGACACTGGCATGTGGTGTGTTGCAGTTACCCCGTCTGGACGGAGAGACTCTGGAGGGTTACATCCACTCACTGCACACCATGCTGCTGATGGTGCTCAAACAGGGATCTGGGAAATCCCAGGGGGACCATGGCCTCTTCCTGCGATACCACATTGAGGCAGTGACCATCCGGGGCATTAACAGCTTCCGCCAGTACAAGTTTGACATGGTCACCGTTGGCAAGTAAGTGTCACTGCTGCCTACCTATTCCCTACACTAACCAGTAACCTGGCTACCTGGGGAATTGTTAACCTTCACTAACCTGCTGCCTGTTTAACTGCTCCCTTCACTAACCTGCTGCCTGGTTAATAGCTCCCTTCACTAACCTGCTGCCTGGTTAATAGCTCCCTTCACTAACCTGCTGCCTGTTTAACCGCTCCCTTCACTAACCTGCTGCCTGGTTAATCGTTGCCATCACTAATCTGCTGCCTGGTTAATAGCTCCCTTCACTAACCTGCTGCCTGGTTAATCGCTGCCGTCACTAACCTGCTGCCTGGTTAATAGCTCCCTTCACTAACTGGCATTAACCGGGCCCTGTATGTATTGACTGGAATCTTTCCCTGGTGTAGAGTATTTGAGGGCATCGTGAGGAAGCTGAACAACCTGCTGGAAAAGCTGCATCAGTCTTATTTCTTCTACCTGCTGCCATCTCTCTCACGCTTCGTATCCATTGGGTATTACATGCCAGCCTTTGGCTTCCTGATCCTCATCCTGCTGCTCAGAATATCCTTTCCATCCTTACATTCTTAACATGGCTGCTCTCCCCCCACCAGAAGGTAAACAGAACAAGGCCATTTCGCCCGTCAGGTCAGCTCCATCATTCAGTCAGACCTGGGCTGGTAATCCTTATCCCACAGGGAGTTGGTCGGTAACCTGCTGCCTGGTTAAT